TTTTTTTTTTTTGAGACAAGAGTCTCACTCGGTCACCCTCAGTAGGGTGCTGTGGTGTCACAGCTCACAGCAACCTCAAACTCTTGGGCTTAAGCAGTTCTCTTGCCTCAGCCTCCCGAGTTGCTGGGACTACAGGCGCCACCACAATGCTCGGCTACTTTTTTTACAGTTGTCATTGTTTTAGCTGGCCGGGGCTGGGTTTGAACCTGCCACCCTTGGTGTCTGTGGCTGGCACCGTAACCACTATGCTACAGGCCCTGCGTCAGGCCTTTCCATTTCTTTCTCAATGCATACTACTGTTGAAGAGTCTTAGCCAAATATACATGCCCCTTGACTTATGGTGGGGTTATAACCCAGTAAACCAATCAGAAGCTGAAAGTACTGTTAAGTTGAAAATGCATCTAATATACCTAACCTACCAAACATCATAGCTTAGCTTAGCCTAGCCTAGCCTACCTTCAGTGTACCAGAATACTTAGATTGGTCTACAGTTGAGTAAAAATACCTAACTGAAGTCTATTTTAATCAAAGTTTTGGATATCTCATGTAATTTATTGACTACTGTACTGAAAGTAAAAAACAGAACTGGTTGTGTGGATGCTCAAGAGTGGCTTCTACTGAATGGGTATTGCTTTTCCCCACTGTCAGTTGATACTGTCTGTACATGAGTGGATGGTAGGACATTGTGTGTTAGAAGTTTTGGTCTGCTGCAGATGCATATGTTTATCATTATATTGAAGTGTTTTCTAGAATAATGAAGGTTTGGGTGGAGAATAGAATGAGAGGAAAGGAATAGTAGGCTTTGGGTTTTATTTTTTTTTATTTTTAGAGATAGAGTCTCACTTTGTTGCCCTTGATAGAGTGCTGTGGCATCACAGCTCACAGCAACCTCCAGCTCTTGAGCTTAGGTGATTGATGCTCTTGCCTCAGCCTACTAAGCAGCTGGGACTATAGGTACCCGCCACAATGCCTGGATATTTTTGTTGTTGTTGTTGCAGTTTTGGCTGGGGCTGGATTCGAACCTGCCACCCTCGGTATATGGGGCTGGTGTCCTACTCACTGAGCCACAGGCACCGCCCCAGACTTTGGTTTTTAAAGGCAGTATCTCTATGGCTACATTCAATTTATTTGTCTTAGAAAAATAAGTTTTAATTATATCTTATTAAGGCTTCTAGTATGGGGGTCACAGCATAGTCAATTTTTTTGGTTTTATGGGCTGTACAGTCTCTGCATGTTCTTTTTTTTGTTGTTGTTCATACCCTTTAGAAATGTAAAACCATTCTTAGCCCGCTTGTAGGCTAGATTTGGCTCATTGGTCTATTTGCCAATCCCTAGGGTAGCACAGGGAGTTTACATGTTGAGGATGGTTCTCAATGTTTTCTGGAATAAGGGGGAGAGGGGGAGTTTTATCTTGTGTTGGGTATATCACATTAAAACAATTCCTTTAAGTTTTTTTTTTTTTTTTTTTTTTTTTTTTTTTTT